CTTCAGTCCCGCCCCCAGGTTGTCCTGGCAATACGCGCTGTGGGCGTGGCTTTCTATGGGTTTCCAAGGATTGGCAGGTGGTGGTCACTCCCTTTATCAGCCTCCCCCCTTCTCCCTCCTCTACCCCCCTCCACTCCCCCCTCCCCTCGGGAGGCTGGGGTGACAGGAGGGTCCATCAGGGGGACCAGCGGGTGGACAGCGGGTGGACAGCAGGGGGAGGCCAGCAGGCCGCACACAGAACCACCACTTTAAAGAGGAACCTGTGTGTGTAAAACACACACACACACACTTATATCTATATTCACACCCTCCAGGTGTACTGTAAAAGAGGAAAGGCCTTTTATTGCCCATGGAACCTGGAACTGGTCAGCACAGAGCTAGTGGAGGAAGTTCACCATGGGAGGTGGTATTTGAGTTGGCTCTTAGTCAACTTGGTCTGTGTCCCACAAGATTAAAAAAAAGAAAAGCTCTCTACCCGGAGAACAGCCTAAATAGACGTGCAGCTCCCCGTGCCAGGCATGGGGCTTGAACTCGGGGCCTCGCAGCCCTCCCTGAGCTTTTTAGGCTCAAGGCTAGCGCGCCACCACTCGGCCGGCCTGCTGGGAGCTCATTGGGGATTTGAGTCTCCCAGGCTGCGATCCTCAGATCTCAGCCTCCTGAACTGCTAGGATGACAGGCGTGAGCCCCCGGCGACCGGCCTCAGTTTCTTACATACCCAAGGTGAGACTCTCAAGTTTTCCTTCACCTTTTTACTCCACCAGGACTGAAGGATGCATTAAGCCCTGTCTGCAGACATGGCCACCCTGGGAGTCCTGGCCTGCACCTGTGCTTCTTAGCACACCTTGAACTTCCTTTCTCACCATGTCTTCCCTTCACTCCATTTCCATTTCTTAGTAATCGTGTAGTGTATGTCCGAGTCAAGCAGAAGAGGTCAGATACGGTGATGTTAGGGACATGAACCCCAAGATATGTATTCAAATGATTTTTTTCTTTCATGCGATTGTTTCTAACATATTTATAAGATGATTTCTTTGTTGCTTTGTATGTCCCTCCCCCACAGTATAACCCCTGCTTCCACTGTATTTGATGTTGGTATAATTTGTGGAGAGGAGGGGAAAAAACAAATCGTTTAAATAGGGATACAGGTGGACCCATTGCAACAATGAGATGTACAAGTTGTTATGTAGAAAACAAACTTTAGGACTTTGTGGGGGGGGAGGAGGATGGGAAGGGATGGGAAGGGGAAACACAGGAGGAGGCTGCAACACTTGATAAGAAATGTACTCACTATCTTGCCCATGTAATTGTAACCCCTCTGTACAGTATTTTCACAATAAAAAATAAAAGAAGAGGAGGGGAAAAAAAGCATTGTCCAGGAGTAAACTAATCTGCCAGGCCCCAACAAGCATGGCAAGTGTGTGTGCGTGTGTGTGTGTGTGTGTGTGTGTGCATGTGTGTATGTGTGCACACGCATACATGTGTGTATGCGTGTGTGTGCGTGTGTGTGTGCGTGTGCATGTGCGCATGCCAACCCTGGGGTTTGAACTCAGGGCCTGGAGAACTGTCCCTGAGCTCTTTCTGCTCAAGGCTAGTACCCTGCCACTCGAGCGGCCTCTGGCTTTGTGGGTGCCGCACTGCAGAGCAGAGTCTCCTGGCGATGTCCCGCGTGGGCCGGCTGTGAGCCGCCATGGTCAGAGCTTGGCCCGCTGAGTCGCCGGGGTGACAGGCCTGCAGCACCCGCGCTGCCATAAGTTCTTCTAAACGTCCACTGCGCTGGCCATCCAGGCCCGGGGCAGCGGGGGAGCCAGGCCCGGGCGGGTGCTGCTTTGAGGTGTGTAGGAGGCGCGCTGGGTCCCCCTGGACAGGCACACACACACACACACACACACACGAGGCTCAGAGGACACTGTAGGTGTAGGCCATGCTGTCCAGGCAGACGCCGGCCACGGCCGCATACAGCTCGGGCACCACCAGCTCCGGCACCTGCAGGATGCACTGGTCATCGGCCGTCCTGGCGGCCGCCTCCAGCTGCACGCACAGCTCCCGGGGCAGCGGCCGGCCATCCGGGCTCCAGTGCCAGCACCGCTTCATGATGTTGTACCTGGGCAGGGTGGGAGACACAGCCACTGTGTGAGTGTGTGAGTGTGTGTGTGTCCCGCACCCGGACGTGGACGCACGGCCTTAGCTCCCGCTCGGCTTCGCAATCAAGGCTGGAGCTCCACCACGTCAGCCATAGCTCCACCTCCAGCTTTTTGCTGGTTCACTGGAGCAAAGACTCACTTTTGGGCCCAGGGCTGGCTTTGAACCTTGATCCTCATATCCCACCCACTGGAGTAGCTGGGATTATCAGCGGGACTCAACACACCCGGATCCCAATCAGCTAAATAAGAACAAAACCTACATAAGTAACTGATACGTCGCAATTCTTTAAGTCTGTCTTTGCTCATCCGTCTTTTTATTATTCCTAGAGGCTGATACACCTTTTCCTCCTCCTAAAACCGAGTGTCTTCATTCCAACATCTTCACGGGACTTGTTTGATAATAAGAATGACACCGTGAAGCCCGACGCCAGAGGCTCACGCCTCTAATCCCAGCGATTTGGGAAGATGGACTCTGAGGATCACAGTTCAAAGCCAGCCCGGATGGAAAGTCTGTGAGCCTCTTACCTCTAATCAACTATGAAAAAGCCAGAAGTAGAGCTGTGGGTCAAGCGGCGGAGCACCAGCCTCGAGCACAAAAGCTCACGGAGCGTGCCCAGGCCCTGAGTTCAGGACTGGCGCGTGCACACACACACACACACACACACACACACACACCCCATTAGATTCCTACCACAGCTCTTAATGGTGAGCTGGGCAGCGTGGGTGGGGACGCATGCAGGTATGATAAGATATGCAAACACGGCACATGATCAAGCGTCTTACTCAGGCCTTGAAGCCGAGCCTGCAGTTAGCTCCTTAGAACAACTAAGAAGCATCTGTACCCCACTGGGGGGGAAAGATGGAAGGGGGGACCTGGATCAAGATGTGTTGTGCTCATAAACTGACATGTACAACTTCTTGAGGAAGAGAAGGAGGAGGAGGAGGGGGAGGAGGAGGAAGAGGAGGAGGAGGAGGAGGAGGAGGAGGAAGAGGAGGAGGAGGAGGAGGAGGAGGAGGAGGAGGAGGAGGAGGAGGAGGGGGGGAGGGGGAGGAGTTGAAGGAGAGGGGGAGGAGGAGGAAGGGGAGGAGGAAGCAGGTGAGTGATAGTGAAGGAAAGGGAAAGCTTTAGGACTAGAGCGGAGCTGGCCGGTATGAACTCCACTCACATGGTGTGGGAGCAGCCGCTGGGTTTCTTCATGATCCTCCTCCGCTGAAGATGCTGTAGGATGCTGGTGGGAGGGACTTCCGGGTACGGCGGGGCCCCTGACAGATGGACAGAATGAGATGAGAGAGGGAGGGACGGCAGACAACGCACTGCCGCTGGCTGGGCTGGAGGCCGGGCAGGGCTGCTGAGTGTGGAGGCCGGGCACCGGCTGGGCGTGGAGGCCGGGCAGGGCTGCTGAGTGTGGAGGCCGGGCAGGGCTGCTGAGTGTGGAGGCCGGGCACCGGCTGAGTGTGGAGGCCGGGCAGGGCACCGGCTGGGCGTGGAGGCCGGGCAGGGCTGCTGAGTGTGGAGGCCGGGCAGGGCTGCTGAGTGTGGAGGCCGGGCACCGGCTGAGTGTGGAGGCCGGGCAGGGCTGCTGAGTGTGGAGGCCGGGCACCGGCTGGGCGTGGAGGCTGGGCAGGGCTGCTGAGTGTGGAGGCCGGGCACCGGCTGGGTGTGGAGGCCGGGCAGGGCTGCTGAGCCCGCTGACAGCAAGGCCCGAGGCCCGACGGGAGCCCTGGGAGAAGAGGGGCAGGGGGGGCAGGGGGGCAGTGGGGGGGCTGGGGTGTGGGGGAGATGATGCCAGGAGAATCGCGAGCTTGGGGGAGATTCCAACCGGGAAAGCGAGGTAACAACTCGGGAAGACGCAGCCCACAGCTCCCCTGCACGGCTGCCATCCCAGCCGCTCCGCAGGCCGAGATCCCAGGACCTGGGTTCAAAGCCAGCGTGGGCAGGAAAGTCTGGGAGACCTCCATGTCCAACGAGCCGGCACAAAGCGCGAAGGGCAGCTGTGGTTCCGCGGGTAGAGCATCAGCCTCGAGTGCAAAGCTCAGGGGCAGCTCCCGGGCCCTGAGTTCAAGCCCCGGGTACCAAAAGAAAATAACAGTCTAAAGAAAACGTCTTCGGGTCTCCTGGGGATTACCATTCGGGTTTCAAACACACATTGGCGCTGGTCAGGGAAAAGGAAGGGTGTGGAAGGAAGGGAAGAGAAGGATGGGGAGGAGGGAGAGGGGGGAGCCTGACTTTAAGAAGCCTGGGGGTCGGGCTCAGCCTCCACGCTGGGCCCGAGCGGAAACCCTTCTTGTGTGTATGGTACTGGGGCTTGAACTCAGGACCTCACGCTCACCTGAGGCCTGGGAGCGCGACCACATGAGCCACACCTCTATCGGAGGCTTTTCGGTGGTTAAAAAAAAAAATAAAGTCTTGGGCTCTCCCGGGCTGGCCTTGAACCACGACCCTCAGATCTCAGCCTCCCGAGCCGCCGCTGCTGCTCCAGCCATCACCCACCCCTCCCTCCAGTAATCACGTGTGCCCGAGCACACGCCGGCTCCTCTGTCTCCGCCCTGCTTCCCCCCCCCGCCCCCCAGTCCTCACCCAGTCCTTACCCAGTGTCACCATCTCATAGAGCAGAATCCCAAAGGACCAGCTGCAAAGCAAGCAGAGTGCGGCTCGATCTCTGCCCCGGCCTCCCCAGCCCAGCCCGGGAAAGACTCCCCACTTCTGGCTTTTTTCTGCTTACGGGGTGCTGAGGACTCGAACCCAAGGCCTCATACGTGCAAGACCAGCGCTCTACCACGGAGCCCCCTGCCCAGTGCAGTCGCTCACATTCTCTTTAAAAGCCGTTTGGGATTGGAACACCGACCTTGACGCTTGCTCGCTAGGCTGGCGCTCAACCGCTTGAGCCACGCTTCCAAGTCCAGCTTTTTGCTGCTGATTTTGAAGCTGGAGTCTCTTGGACTTTCCTGGCCTCTCCCGCTTCAAATCAATACCCTCTGGTTTTCAACCTCCCGAGGAGCTGGGATTACAGGTGTGAGGCACCAGTGCCTGCCTTTGGTCCCAGGACATTACGGCTTGAGTATCTGACTTCAAATGGAGCTCTTATGCATAGACCTAATTAGCCTGAGAGTATTCAGCTAGGAAGGACCCCAGCGGGCAGAGGCCAAACCGTACATGTCTCCTCTGATGTCGGCAGGCTTCAGGAGCAGACGCTCGGGGGCCAGCCACTTGGAGGGGACGTGTCGGGCGGGAGAGATGGCCCCCCGCGTGTGGATTTCGTACGCCAGGCCCAGGCCACACAGCTTGGCAGTCAGATCGCTTTGGATCAGGACGTTTCTGGCCGCCACATCACCGTGGAAGATGTGTTTCTCCTGGAGGAATTCCTGTGAGCAGGAGATCAAAAAGAATTGGAGCCCAATGGGAGCAGGTGGCTCCAGGCTACTCAGGAGGCTGAGACCTAAGGATCGCGGTTCAAAGCCAGCTCGGGCAGGAAAGTCCTCGAGACTCTGATCTCCAATGAACCACTTAGAAAACCAGAAGTGGTGCTGTGGCTCAACATGGTAGAGCACCAGCCTTGAGCACAAGAGCTCAGGAAAGTACGGGGACCTTGAGTTCAAGCCCCACAACTGACAACCATCATCATAGTCATCATCATCATCACCATCATCACCACCATAATCATCATCATCATCACAATCATCATCATCATCACCATCACCATCACCACCATCATCATCACCATCATCATCATCACCATCATCATCACCATCATCATCATCATCATCATCACCATCATCATCACCATCATCATCATCATCACCATCATCATCACCATCATCATCATCATCATCACCATCATCACCATCATCATCATCATCACCATCATCACCATCATCATCACCATCATCATCATCATCATCATCATCATCACCATCATCATTATCATCATCATCACCATCATCATCATCATCATCATCACCATCATCACCATCATCATCATCACCATCATCATCACCATCATCATCATCATCATCATCACCATCATCATCATCATCATCATCATCACTATCGTCACATCAAGACCATCTTAAGGATGACCAGGGAATCTCTTCTTCTCTAAACAAAGTTGCCTTAATAATGACTCATCACGTCCAGAGCACACCACGTGATTGGACATTTCACTGATCTGTTTACCTATTTTTGTGTTTATTTATTCTGTGCCACTACTGGGATTTGAACCCAGGGCCTGTCGCTCTCCCTTCGCTTTTTCTGTTCAAGGCTAACGCTCTCCCGTTTGTGGCCCACCCTTCCACTTCTGGCTTCATCTGCTTTCTGTTCAGTCTGTTCTTACCAAAGCCAAAAGGACCTGTTTTCCGATGTGATATATTTGCTTCTCGGTGAGATCATACAGGAACCCGTCCACGCTCATCACATCCTACACAGGCGGAGACAAGAGCAAAGGAGTGTTTCCAGGTGTCTCTGCCACAGGGTTTATAAATCGAATATATTCACGACACATTCTCAGCCTCCTGAGTGTCTGGGATGACGGCGTGGATGACAAAGCCCATCCTCAACATTTTAGTATTTATTTATTTATGTCAGTGGTGGGGTCTGAACTCTGGGCCTGGGCGCTGTCCCTCAGCTCTTCAGCTCAAGGCTGGCGCTCTACCACCTGAGCCACAGCGCCACTTCTGGTTTTCTGGTGGTTTATTGGAGATCAGAGTCTCACAGACTTTCCTGCCCGGGCTGGCTTTGAACCGCGATCCTCAGCTCTCAGCCTCCTGAGTAACTAGGATGACAGGCATGAGTCACCAGCACCCAGCCATACATTTTAATTTTTAATTACTCTCTACTTGAGCCACAGCTCCACTTCCGGCTTTTTCTGCTTAAGTGGTGCTGAGGAATTGAACCCAGGGCTTCATGCATGCGAGTCAAGCACTCTACCACGGAGCCACATTCCAAGCCCACATACATTTTAATTTTTAAAAACAGGCTGGGAGGGGCTGGGCAGGTGGCTCGGTGGTAGAGTGCTCGCCTTGCACGCATGAAGCCCTGGGTTCGATTCCTCAGCACCACAGACACAGAAAGAGCCAGACGTGGCGCTGTGGTTCAAGTGGGAGAGCGCTAATCTTGAGCCAAAGAGGCTCATGGACAGCGCTCAGATCTTGAGTTCAAGCCCCAGGCCTGGCAAAAAAAAAAAAAAAAAAAAGCTTAAAAGTCAGTATTTTAAACTTTGGCTATGTAGTATGGGGGGCAGTTCACCACCTGTCTCCAGCTTAAACACAGCATTGAAAACCAAGTGAAGCAAATCACTCACTGTCTCAATCACACCTGCTAACGTTCAGTTTTGTTATTATTATTATCATCATCACTATTATTATTACGTTTTTTGTGCCAGTCCTGAGGCTTGAACTCTGGGCCTGGGCGCTGTCCCTGAGCTTATTTTTATTTTTGCTCAAGGCTAGCGCTCTACCACTTGAGCCACAGCTCTGGCTTTTTTTTTTTTTTTTTGCTGGTTCATTGATGATCAGAGTCTCACGGACTCTCCTGCCCGGGCTGGCTTTGAACCATGATCCTCGGATCTCAGCCTCCTTGAGGAGCTGGGCTGACCGGCGTGAGCCACGGTGCCCGGCTCCCGTATGCTGTTCTATGGTCTCTGTAGCTTGCATTTGCAAGGCTGGTGGGCAGGTGACAGGCCTCTGGCCCGAGTGGTGTGTTCCCCTCCCGGCAGCCCGCTTTTCACCGCCTACCCGGCGACAGGTCCAGAGAAGGGTGAGCAGGTCCCCCGGGGCCACATCCTCCAGCACCATGTACAGCGGCAGGCACTCGGTACAGCACCCCTCCAGCCACACCAGGTTCTTGTGTCTCCCCAGGTGCTGATAGAAGCGGATCTGTCCAATGAAATCCTGCACGTCTTGCAGCCCTGCTGCTGCTGCGAGGGGCGGGAGGGGAGGGACAGACGGCAGCTGAAACGGACTCGAGGAATAAGAAGCAACTTCCAGGCTGGGCGCTGGTTGTGCATGCCTGTCATCCCAGCGCACCCCAAGAGGCTGAGATCGAAGGATCGTGGTTCAAAGCCAGCCCGGGCAGGAAAGTCCGTGAGACTTTCAAGGCTGGCGCTCTACCGCTTGAGCCACAGCTCCACGTCCGGTTTTCTGGTGGTTTGTGGGAGATGAGAGTCTCAGGGACTTTCCTCCCCAGGCTGGCTTTGAACCTCGATCCTCAGATCCCAGCCTCCTGGGGAGCCGGGATGACAGGCGTGCGCCGCAGCGCCCGGCGGACACACTTCTTCACGGAGAACAGCTCTCGCTGTACCTCTTAATGTCTTGAGGACCACACTCTTGGATTTCGCGGGATCCCCGGGGTTCATCTGGGTTCGAAAGATGGAGCCCCAGGTGCCCCTGGAGATCTGCTCCAGGGCCTGGGACAGCTGAGCCCGGGGCAGCTGCAGTTCAGCCAGGGACGGCGCCACGGCTGCCAGGAAAGTGTCCACCGTCCTCTCCTCCAGCGCCACCGATACGTCTCCTCGCCGCCCTGCTGGTTCCAGACCCCTGGAGGGGGTGACCTGAGCATCTCCTAGGAGAGAGAGAGATGCCGTCAGCAAGAGCCAATATTACATTCTCTCTAAAGACCAGCCCCAGTGGCTCACGCCTGTCACCCCAGCTCCTCGGGAGGCTGAGACCGGAGGATCGCCGTTCAAGGCCAGCCCGGGCGGGAAAGTCCGTGCATGAGACTCTTGTCTCTAATGAACACCAAACATCAGGAAGTGGCGCCGTGGCTCAGGTGGTTAAGCGCCAGGCTTGAGTGGAAAAAGCTAAATGGGGGCGTGAAGCCCCGAGTTCAAGATCCTGACCTACCTCCCTCCCCCCCCCAAGAAAAGAACGAATAAGACTGAGGGAGGTCCCATTATGGACGCAGCGCCCCCCCCCATGGACACGTCCCTCGCTGAATCTTAGTCCATGATTTTCCTCCCACCCACCCTCCTCCCCGAGCCCCTGCTGGGCCCCCAGGTTGGGGGTTCGTTCACCTCCACGTCGGGGGTGCTGCCGCTGGAATCTCTGTCCTCGGATGAAAAGCCACAGGATGACGGCCAGGAGGAGGAGGAAGAGGCCCACCAGGAGTGTGGGGACCACAATGACCTCGTACTGCCCCTCCCGGACCACTGCGGGTGGGAGGCGGGAGGGGACGGAGGTCAGAGGCCTGGCCGGTGCGGCAGGACGCCCCCCATGACCCCTCCACAGAGCGGCAGACACCAACACAGCATCGCCACTGGCTTTCTATTCCTCCTCCTCTTTCTTCTTCAGTGTGTGTGTGTGTGCACGCACACATGCATGCACTAGTACTAGGTCTTGAATTCAGGACCAGACACTGTCCCTGAACTTTTTTGTTCAAGGCTGGCGCTCTACCACCTGAGTCACAGCGCCACTTCTGGCTTTTTCTGTGCATGTGGTACTGAGGAATCGAACCCAGGGCTTCCTGCGTGCTAGGCGAGCGCTCTATCACTGAGCCACCTTCCCGGCTCTGGGTGTCTTTGTTCAGAATTTCTAAGGGTCCCTGTTTCCTAGCCCATCAAGTATACATGGTTGCTTCTTTTCTTGTTTTCTCTCCTTCTTTCCTTTTTCTTGCTTTCCTTCTTTCTTTGAAATGATAGTTTTACATGTAGGATGTTCAACATCGAAAGAAGTGTGTGCTGGGATCTGAGGATCACAGTACAAAGCCAGCCTGGGCAGGAAAATCTGTGAAACTCTTTATTTGCAATAAACCACCGGAAAACCAGAAGTGGTGCTGTGGCTCAAGTGATAGAGCTCTAGCCTTGAACTGAAGCGCTGAGGGACAGTGCCCAGGCCCAGAGTTCAAGCCCCAGGACCAAGTTTGTGTGCACATGCACACACACACACACACACACAGGCGCACACATACACAAAAGTACAACTTTGGAGGTTCACTAGCACATAGAATATTGCCAGATTTCCTCTCTGTGGGGCGGTGGTGTGACCGTATTCAATGAAAGAACACCATTCTCCTCCTCCTCCCCC